TCCGGATCCTCCTCCACAGAAACCCACGGGTCCAAAGCCGCAGAGACAAAGACATGACTGTTAGACTCAAAATGCCCCACCAGTGTAAATCCAACTAAACTGTCAGAGATAAGAGCTCAGTGTTTCCACACCCACACTGTGGGTGTTGTAAGATTTGTGTGCATGGGGCGTCAGGGTCCTCCAGCAACTTCACTTCCTACAAATGTCCACAGAAAGTCTCACTTCCTCTTTCTGTCCTATTTGCTGCCAGCTGAAAGAATCTGTTTGTGAGAAACATTCAGGCTGAACTGTGAGCTGCGTCAAGGCTGTGTCCAACATCCTGACTGGACACATTCAGGACAGGAAATGCACAAACACACAGGACGAGCCTCACAAATGCATGAATAAATACACAGAGTAAGCAGGAGAGATGAAAACAGTATGAGACAGAAAGAGGTGGCGGACAGGAGGAGGATCATCTTCAGATACAAGATGGGAGAAGAAAATAGTGGAGCAGGCTGAGAGATGAAGAAGATGAGGGAACAGAAACTAACTAATAAGAATTACAGTAGAAGAAAGAAGAAGTAAATGAAACATTGCAAACAAAGTTATGAATCATTTCTTATGCTGTCTGTTAAACTGCTGAAGCGGACATTTCCATAAGTTTGCCTCATGATAAATCTGTGACAGAAACACCAACGCCTTCGGTTTGAATTCAACACGCACCAATAACCGATCAGCTGATACTAGACTGTGGCAAATAAAAAGACATTAACCAGAGACAGGGCTGATATTTAGCTCTTCTATCTGGCTTGCTGAATATTAAAAATTAGAGCGACAAAGACCAAAAAGGTTTTAAAATTGTTATTTTTATCATCATCTGTGTAAATCCAGACTAAATGCTCCAATAATTCTAACATGTGAAGCATTCCTCGTCCAGAGCTCATGGAGAGATGATGGATGGAAGAGTCACCCAGGACACCAAGATTCAGGTTCCATTTAAAAATAAAAGTAGATGTCCGAATTAATATTTTTAGACTCCGATTTAAGAACTCGCGTTATAACGTGAGTTCAGGGATGCCACGATCTGCTGATCTAATTTAAAGAATCTCCCCAAATATGGAATAAATAAAGTATTTCTCATTGATAATTGATCTGAGCCCACACGAGCTGATGACTTAGCTGATACCCTTCCACAAATCCACTTTTTCATCTATTTTGATTTTAAATACTTCACACACACTTACTATGCCTCTGCAAGCTGTTTTGCAACCCTCTTTTCTTGTTTCAGCGTCATATCTGCTGTCACTGACGCCTGCTCTGATCTGTGAGAGGCTCTTTGTGCTACACACGGAAAGGTGGGGCGGTCCCAGAGCAGAGTTTTACCAGTAAATCTAAACGACTGCAGATATAAATCTCCTCTGACTGCTCCTTTGTGGTGCTACTTTAACCCTGTCTGGGTTCAAATAGACGCTTTTACAACATTAACCACATACCTTCTGACTTTGTGTATTCTGTTTTGGTGGTAGTTTTTCTTTTTCTTTTGTATTTTGTTGATTTTTTTTTGTCTCAGTTTAGTTTTTCCCGTCGAGAAATCTTCATTTCTCCACAACATCCATCACCTTCCTCTTACATATTGGACCAAAGCTGAGTTTAAAGTGGCAGCAAACAAACAAACTGCTGGCACATTTTGAAGGCATGAATGCATTCACACTGACAGTGGGTGTTTGTGTTTGGTAAAATGTGCTGTCAGAGGCTTGACAAGTTGCAAATATTCAGATTTAAAAATCAACACTGATATTCATGTTTGAGTTTGTTAGAAAAAGAGAAGCTAATAAAGTCTGGGGAAAGCTTGAGTGGATTGAATAAATGTGGTTAAACAGCCTTTAAATCATATTTAGTTTCATGTGTCCAGCTGATTACTGCTTTGCTAAACTGGCTACTGGATATAACTCAGAGTTTAGTTTTTCTGAGTGAGATTTAATGCCTGTAGTGATGAATGTTATGTAGATTAATCAGGAGAAAAGCTGTTGTTATCACTGCAGAGGCTTCAAGTCCAAATCCCTGTTTATGTGTTCTGTCATTTTGATTCAGCATTTGCAACTGCTGCTTCATAAGTAAACTGTATCACTGTGTTCCTGTTAAACAGTGTTGTCTGTATAAACACATGCATGAAAAATAAGCCTCCTGTCTTTTAAATCTTCCTCACCCACCGTCACCTTCCTCATGTTCACAGCTCTGCAGGGACACTCCGCAGCCAGCTGCGTTTCACTCAAGAATGTGCCCATAGAAAGAGTCTGGGAGGATTTTAGGATTTAGCAGCACGTTTCCTCTGCAGCGCCTTCCAAACACATACCAAGCAGAAATCCGGATTTAAAATAAAAATCAAATGCAGCGTTTAACGTTCAGAAAGGTTTTTCCTCTTTGGGCTGAAGATGGAGGTGGGAAGTAAATGCAGACAGTAAATTTCAGTGGTTTACAGTCAGAGACACACACCCACATTATTAATGAGGCAGCAGAGGCCAGCTGTGCTGCAGATCTCATGAGCTGGACAGGATTAAAGCAGAGTGCTGTGTCTGTCTATTCCTGTGAGGACGAGTTTCAGTTTTAGACTTTAGGGCTTTCTGGCCCTCACTTTAGAACTGTTCACACTTGGGCTCAGGTTTAGCTTTAGGCCAAATGAGATGAGTTCTCACAAAAGCAGGTGTAAAAAAGCAGTCTGTTTCTCGGCACTCATGGAGCTCAAATGGGAAAAATCAGCTCTTAAGTGAAGTTGGTTTTAATCCAAGTGTTTGTGGATGGTTCTGGAATGACTTGTCTGACTGGCCAACTTGACCTCGTGACAAAAAAAGCCAAGAAAATCAACAGTATTTGATTTTTCCACTCCCAAATTTCCTCTCAAACTTTATGTGCATTCTCTTGTGTTCCTAATGTTCAGATGATGTGCATGAGGTCTTTCCTGTTTGTGGATGCTTTTCACCTGACAGACTTGTTTACTATACTGCCTGATTTCCAGTGTATGACCTCAACTTTGATCAAAGACTTGGATTTGATAGACACTTACAGCAACAGCAACAACAAAAAGGCTTTCACTTTATGTACATGGATGCATCAATAGAGATGAGTTTATTAAGAACAAACTGGTTTCTGTCATTTTGAGGTTTAGATTAAGTCTTGTAGTTTAGCTGCTGTTTAAGGTTTTAGTCACTTTTAAGGACTTTTGTGGTTTGAGGATTTGGGCTTTGTATTCCTGGGTTAAGTAATATTTCCTTCTTTTTGTTTAGGTTATTCTTTCTTCCCCAAGTCTTTATCTTCTTTAAATGATAAGCGGACAGTTCTTATATAGCACTTTTCTACACTACCTGAGCACTCAGAGCACTTTATACCACTTGGCTCATTCACCAATCACTTTTTAAAAAGAAAAATATAAGTGCTTTCTATCTAACATTCACACTTCAGTGGATGCAATAGACCAACTTGGGGATATTTGACATGCAGACTGGAGGACTGAACCACTAACTTTAGTACATCACTCTACCTCTACCTCCTGAGCTACAGCCACATAGAGGCACTTCTTTTATTTTTAAAGTATCTCTCATGTCTTGTATTCAGTTTTACTTCCCTCGTGTGTTTGTTTTGATTAGTTTCAGCTGTTTCTTGTTGCCCACCTGTTTCTCTTATCTTGACTGTTGTCAGTGACTATGAGTGTATATATAGCCTCAGTTTCTTTTATCAGGGTGTCTGTGATCTAAAACTGGTACCAAATACAGATGGAACTTAGTTTATATCATTGTCAGAGCAGAACAAAAAATAAAAAAGGTATATGTGGGCATGTTTTGGCAGATTTGGACAGAAATGGCTACCACAGCAGGTAGCTCCACGTTTGATTTGGTAGTTATGCACTGGATGCCCTTCCTAATGCAACCCCACAGCGTCTTGCCATTCACCTGGGAGGAATCTTTTGTTTATCAAGTGAATGTGTAGAGACTAGCCTTACGTTAAAAGTCTTGTTATGATCATATTCCTATGCTCTGTAAAATAAAGCTAAGTGAAGAGGACTTTGTTTTCCTATTCTGGACCACAGTGTGATTCATAGGCAGGTATCTGGATTCACTCTTAGGACACTGGATGCTGTTTATCATTCTGCCTTCTGGTTTATTACTGGCAATGGTTACAGCCATCATCGCTGCAGCTTACATGGAAACACTGGATGTGCTCTGCAGTCCTTACGAAATAATATAAACATTTTACTGTTTATAAGGCTGGAAGCTTCAGTTTCACATCTACTTTGTCCTTGCGTCGTATCCTTATGTGACTTTAAACTGGCATGACTGTAATTCAGAGCTACCCTCATTGCAGTTTAAATAATTTTCAGAAACTCTCTGGACGACTTTACAAGCTAAACTCACTTTTCAAAGGATGAATAAGTGTTTTTAATAAATTAAAAACTTGCTTTATATACTTTGAAGAACATCATTACCGCAGTTTGGGGACTGAGTTCTGTGTTTCAACCTTATTTGATCTGAAATGAAGCTTTAGGTAGGAAACACTGAAGGAATTCAGACTTGACTTGGACTTAAATTAATGACTCGGACTCTAACTCGAGAGACTTTAGACTTAGACTTGAGGACTCCAAAGGAAGTGAAATATATCAGAAAAGTCAATGTATATGTTTGCACGTGTCCTTTAAATGAACTCATGAGACTGGGAGTGGAGTCTCAGCCTCAGATGTAAACTGACTCTGAAGTTTGTGCTTCGCTCTTTTTATTCTGAGGTTATGTAAGAGGCAGGTACACCTAGGGAGAAGGACATTTCTCTGTCATCTGAATACAAACTCTCTCTTTTTAGCAGAACTAAAGTCAAACTAACAGATTGGGGTGAAATCAAATACAAAAATCAACTCAGAACCACAGTTGTAACCAAAAGTGAGAAGCAGTCGACCTGTGCTCTGCTTCTTAAGGAAAACTAAGAATGTATTTAAAATGGTAAATATGGCAAAAAGTGCAGTTGGTGGGACTTACGTGGGTTTGCCACAGATCTTGCGGTGGTACCACTGTTTGCAGTTGGTGAAATATTTCTTGCTGGTGCCTTTAATCTGTTGCATGGCGCAAACATTGGGTCTGAAACAGAAGAGAGACAAAGAGGAAAAGTTTTATTTTAATTCAAATGTTTATACTTATTAACCACTTTCATTTACAACATACAGAGACAGTCGGCTTAAGTAAACCGCTAATCCTGAGCGTGAGAGCAGAGACACGTAGAAGCTCTGTTAAAAGTCTAAATCAAAGTATTTGAGTCATCAATTCATAAACTGAAACAGACTGACAGCCATAGGTTTCACAAATGATAAACTGGGACTGTCAAAAATTCAGTTCATACCAACTCTGGTAAACATAATTATCCCCAATTAAGAAAAACACTCAAACTCACTCAAGCACAATGTTGTGATCTCAGTCGGCATGCATATCGTTTCATTGTGTGTTGTTCTGTCTGCATAGGGATAAATATTAAGACGAACCACACCACACAATTTAGAGCCTAAGCTAATTTGCACTGGCTGTCTCCCGAGGCGTCTGTGCAAAACACACACACGCATGACTAATAAGCAAAACAATCTATACCATAAATCATCCACAAAGAAATCCCAAACTCAGAACATAAAGGACAAACAGAGCAGTAAAATACATGAAAGAGCAGATCGTTCATGGCTGCAGGGCTGATCCCTCTGCAACAACCGTCAAAATGATTAAAATGATCTCAGTTTGAGTTCTGCAGGTTAGGAATTTGTCACGTTGTTGACCCGAATTGAAAAAGCTGTTTATCCAAATGAGGATTTACGTAATGGCACCTTACAGTTCCCACTAGCTGACCCATGTGATTATATCCATCGAGGAGCCAGAAGGAGAAGGCAGGAGGAGGAGGAGGTCTGATATTAGGTAATTCTTCTGTGCGGAAACCAAGTAAGCAACCGTTTTCTGAAGTGTTGTTTCTAGTTTGGTAACTAAGAAAATGTTGTCTGCCCTTCTTCCCTTCCAGCCTGGGCTCACAGCCAGATGTGAAGTATTTAGGAAAATGCATTTGTCCTTGTACATGAACACAGTTTACATCGCTTTTTTCAATTCCAGTCAGGGTGACAGTGAAACCGGGAGTTTTTTCCTCTGAGAACTTTTCTATGATCGTTTTGTAAACCTATTATAGCTGTTAAAAAAAAAACAAAAAACAGAACACGTGAAGAAAAACTTTTTTCTAAAAGTTGAGGTCATTAAAGTTGATGGAAACTAAACTTAAAAGTGAAACTGCCGTCGTTTATAAAGGTTTTGGCACTGGTTTTTGTCAAATGGCCGATGACTGATTGCTGGAGCTCTTTCTCTAACATCGTAGGGTCTTCAGCTTAGGTATAGAAATTAACTTAAATTGAACATGAAGAGTTATGGCAGATTATATCAACCAGTACAGAGTACAAGCCGGATCACTGTAACACCCTCACACGCTGACTCTCGGCTTACACTCACACAGACTCGCTCAGGCTGGCACTGGTTTCCTGTCTGTGAAGGAAATCCAGCTGTTTAAACCCTGACCCCCCCCCCCCCCCCCCCCCCCCAAAACCATGGATATTTAATATCGTACTGCAGTACACAAAGAAGAATTCAGATCCTTCGCTTAAGAAACAAGAAACCGTGTCACTCCAGTGAGAGATGAAAATTACCACCACACCTGGCACGAATTGAAACCCTGGATTCAGATGGATATCTGGAGCTGGGCTAGTTTTTTCATATTTTCTTCAGAAGAACCAGGATGTCTCCCTTTTTGTGTGTATATTTCAGTTGTATTTGTATGAAGTGTGAAGATATGACAACAAATATTCAATTATGTCACATCCCACAACAGTGAAGAATGACTAGATGTGGACTGACTCGAAACATTAATCACCTGAGTTGGCCAGAGCTCCACCTCTAACAAAAACCCATCAAGTGAATCCATCCAGAACTTTAAAGGCAGTCCTGCTAACAAACAGACACATTGAACCAATCACATGAGGAGATGATGCTCAAAAAGTCAGCGACTTCCTTCCGACTATTTCTAAAATTATTTTTTTAATTGTCCTTTTATCATCTCTGATCATTTAATAGTTGCTTTATTGATTTTCAATTCTCCAGTTGTGCTTTGGAGGAGTGCATTATACGCTTTGAGATCATGAGGAAAACGTGAAGTGGTAGTTCTTGAATAAACTTGATCATAACCATTGTCGAAATATGGAGATACGCGCTTTTCCCTGCACAGTGAGGCCATAAGAAACAACCGTCAAACAGATGTGAGTAAAATGAATATTTTAGCTGAGGTGTAGTGCAGAAAAAAGCTGCACAACACGAACTAGATTAAAAATCAGCAGAACATCTGTTTTTCATTTGCAGCAAATAAGTATATTCATGACGAATCAATCAATAAAATTCAGTCACTTTCTAGTAGTCGCCCTTAGAAGGAATCTTTTTATTTCTCCAGTAAAAATATTCGATACACGTCATGTTCCTGCGTAATGAAGTACTTTTATTTTCATACTTTGTTTCCAAACCGGGACTTTTATTTCTTTATTAAAGCTGAAGTTTTAGTACATTTAGTGTAGTGACTAAAGGACCAGAGTACTGACACTCCCGCAGATTATCGATCACTCTCTGATCATTTCTATTGATCAGCTCAGTAGTAGTTGAGGTTCAGTCGGGCAGGACCAGGCTCGGCTCGGGTCACTTAGATTCAGGAGAGAAAAAAAGAAAAAAACCTCACCCATGCGTCCGGCCTCTGATCCGGCTGTGCTGCAGGACCGCCTGGAACGGAGACCGGGCCACACACGCGGTCAGAACCAGGGCAAGACCCAGGGCCAGCGCGCACACATTCATCTTCACTTTCTGGAGGTAAAACCTGCTGCTGGTGCTTCTTCTTCTCTTTCTTCCTGTGCTTTTTCCTCCTTCCCTCTCTGCAGCCCTCGGTCCCTACAGGGACCAGGACAGTCCGGCTTTATACACCGAAGAAAGAGGAGGAGTGGCGAGGAGGATGGGGAGGGGCGCACCAGAGCAGAGCTGGGAGAATCCTTTGTTGCAGAGAAGTACTAGTACAATTGTGTAAAATACTCCCCGGCAAGTTGAAGTTTTTAAGAGTACCCTGCAGTAACATGAGACTACTGCTTTGAATTCACGAGTCACCGATGATGATCGATATATTATTGGTTTATGTGTAGATTGTTCTTCACGAGTCGATCAAATATTTCTCTTTTATCTGGTGTGAATCCCTTACTTTGATCACGTTATATTGTCAGAATAAGTCATTATTTTATTAATTTCATTTAATTATATATACCAACAACCATTGATCCATCCGTTTTCTCAACCGCTCATCCATCCAGTTGAGAGTGGTGGTGTTTTCATGGGTGGGTGGGGGGCTGGAGCCAATCCCAGCTGTCACAGGGGAGAGGCGGGGTACACCCTGGATCACAGCTCTAACACAGAAAACAGACAACCATTCACACTCACATTCACAACTGTTTCTGGCCTATGGGAAAACGCAAGAGTACTCTGAAGAAACCCACGCAGACACGGGGAGAACACGCAAGCTCCACACAGAAAGTTAGTCTGTGTTTTGTCACTGAATTTTGAGATTTTTCAGTTATTATCTCGTGCAAACCAGACATTATCCCATGTGAATGAGTTCTCCTGTGCAAAGAACACATTTCGCGCAAGCGGAGTCACCTTCGTTATTGTCGTATGCAAATGAGCTGTCTCGTGCAAATCAGTCACTGTCTCGCGCAAATGAGTTAATAATATGAACAAAGTTAATGACTTGTTATGATATAATAATTGGTTTGCATGGTCTTTTCTTGTGAAAGAGTTGTTATCTTGTATAGATAACGGTGTTTTTGCTACGCTTGCCACAATTTATAATTCTTTCACATGGACATAATTTGCTGTAACACACTGCCTGTCTATGAATTTCATTGCATGGCCTTCAGGTAATACTAAAACTTGACCCGCTGAGCTCTGGGGGCTGCACGCAACTACTTAGTGGTTTTATAATGCATGAGATGTTTTACTGTTCCAGTAAGATAAAAAAAAAAAAGTCACCTTATGAGATCTCAGGGGCTCCACAGATTTGTAAAAACTGAAAATATGGTCGAATAAATTCTGAAATCCCAAATAAAATATGTGAGGATGAAATCAGTTTCACGTTTTTGCTTCACGTGTGTTTCCTTTTTTCCCTATCAGACCCTGAAGTAATTTTGAGTGTTTCCACTGCATGGTTTGATGGTTCAGGTCACTAAGGTTCACAAAAAAAGGGATTATTTAAAATGAAGATGATGATATGAGATTTGCATATGATCTCATTGCCCTCCATCTCTCTCGGGCATTAAACAGCTGCAGCTCAGATTTGTCTTCTGACATTACTTCATACAGATGACATGATTTTTCTCCTCACATCAGCTCCTGAAACTCATACAGTCGGCCCACGTGTTCTCTGTGAACTGAGGCAGGGCTGAAGTTTTTCCATCTGTGTTCATCGTGATGGTGATGACACTGACGAATATCTCACACAGTCAGGGGTGGTTTTAACAAAGAAAAAAAATCTGTGTTTGAAACACGCACTAAAAGCCAAAAAGGCTGCTAGGAACTTTAATTTAATTTAATTTTCATCTCGTGTGCTGAAGTAAATGAATAGGAATGGACACCCCATCACCTTTTCCATCTCCCTTATATTTACTAAATCATACATAGAAACATCAGTATCCAGTAAAGATTCGAGATTATGGTGGCCACAGAAGATCTGCTGACATGAAGTTATTCACTTTGCCCTTTTCCTCTCATCTAAAAAGAACAAAAAACATACACATTCACTGACTACTTTATTAGGTACAGCTGTTGAAGTGTTTACTAACGTAAATATCTAATCAGCCACTCAGCCAACCACTTGGCAGTATCCAATGCCTTTAGGCATGTACATGGTCAGGATAAACAGTTAATGTTCAAACCAAACATCAGAATGTGGACAAAATGTGATTTAAGTGATATTTAATGTGGCATGGTTGTTTTTGAAAGACTGGCTGATCTGAGTATTTCAGAAACTGCTAAAATAATTTTCCAGAGCAACTATCTAAGGTTTACAGAGAATCTGAAAAAGAGAAAATATACAGTGAGAAGCAGTTTTCTGAGAAGAAGTGTCTTATTGATGCCAGAGGTCAGAGGACGGGCTGATTCAAGCAAGGCAACAGTAACCACTAATAAGTAAATAACAATTCATTCCAACCAAGGTATGCAGAAGAGCATCTCTGAATACACAATATCTCGACGCACATGGACAGCAGCAGAAGATCACAGCGAGTGCAATTCCTGATGGCTAGGAACAGGAAACAGGCCAATGAGGCTCAGTTTCTGCTGGAACGTTCAGGATTTGATGCGGACAACATGAAATCATGGATCAGCGGTTCAGGCTAGAGCTGGTTGTGTGATGATGTGGGGGATGTTGTCCTTTAGACTTTACCAACTGAGGATTGTTTAAACACCACTCCTCATCCAGCTGTTTAGAACCACAGTGTAGCCATTGTCTGACAGCTGCTTCCAGCAGGATGACGCACCATGTCACAAAGCTCAGATTATCTTAGACTGGTGTGTTGAACATGACGACGAGTTCACTGTACTCAAACTTCCTCCACAATCACCAGATCTCTGTCCAACAGAGCACCTTTGGACGAGCAGCCTACAAATCTGCAGCAACTGTGTGATGCTGTCGTGTCAACTTTTACATGTAAAAAGTCAAGTTTAGGTCTGAAGGCAAAAGAGGATTCCACCTGGCACTGATAAAGTGTACCTAATAAAGTGTCTGGTGTTTTATTTATGCATGTGTCAATAAAATTAAAGAATAGATGATTCTCTGCTGGACAGATGTGCAGTATTATACAGAATTAGTGGATGTGAAATGATTTCCTGTATCTGTCATGTGCAGAATCACTCTGTTGGTGCTGCCTGTGGTGCAGAGGGTGGTCAGGATTTCGGACAGTTTCTTCAGTGATCTCTTCTCCAGGCTTTGTTTGAAGTCACAGTTTTTTCTCTTACTGGTCCATGAACTTAAATGTCTCTGACATGTCTGTTCCTGGCTTCAGATCGCCCTTTAAAAAAGAAAAAAAAAATGACTTTCTGTTTTCTGGGGTTAAATACTGATTTATTTTAGTTCGATGTGATTTTATATCTGAATATCTGAAAGTGGAAACCACTCCACATTTAAACTCCCTCTGCACAAAGACATAACGTGTCCATGTCTGTGTGACAGCTGCTCTTCATTTCCCCACACAAGCAGATTATCAGCAGGAAAGCATCACAGCAGAAAATTTAAACCTGCACGAGGAGATGTGAGCAGGCTGATAGGAGCAGTTTGGAGGAGGTGAACTGGACTGGAACTGGACCTCCAGGGTGGGCTTAAGTTGTTCCAACAAATGCGTCCTCAAATTTTCCAGATTTAAAAACAGCAGGAAGCAGGAAGTTGCTGCTCTGGTTTGCATTATGTAACTTTACAGATTATTCACTCTGACACAGATTTTTTCCACCAACTTCTCCTTCTGCTCCTCAGTGAAGCATCACAACAAAGATTTCTTCCAGACTTCTTTCTGAAGTGCCTACAGTTACAGTTAATGAGGAGCCATTTTAGCATGGGAGTCTGTGGGAAGTGATTCGCTTTTGGAGCCAGCCTCTTTAGTGGTGACTTCATTTCTCTGCCCCAGAGGGTGATGCTTGGCCTTGATGTTTTGGCAGTATTAGATCGTGGAGCTGTTTCAGAAACCTGTAGAGATCCTGTCAGGGCAGTAGGGGCAAAGGTGCAGGTTTGCTTTCATTTATAGTTACACTCTCAATAACAACTCGGTGTCATGATCCCTCCTGTTCTTCAGGTGGGGTACCTGTCATTGTGAGTGTGGGTGATCTCTTTCAGTGGCGGGCGTGGTCCAAGCAAACTACAGTCAGACGCACCACAGTCGATGCAGTTTATAAAACTGACTTCCACCAGATTTTTAACCTACTCATGTAGTAGTGGACTTATCCGCTTCTGTAATGCCTCTAGTATTATGCCCATCTGCAGCACTGTTGGTCTTGCAGAGGTGACAGCTTCTGGATGTTGCATGGGTTTAAATTTAAATTGTCTACACATGAGAAGTAGAATATCTCACTTTTTGTGGGCATGATCCCTTGAAACATGTGGGTCACAAACAGATTCTGATCTGTGGAAGAAGGTTGGTTATTACCAGACCAAACAACAGCCGAAGGTTTAACAGGAGCTACAACAGCAAGAGGAAGATACACTAGACTTCTAGTGTCCATTTATACTTACTAGAAGTTATAAAATGTAATTCAAATAAAAACAAAACAGTATTTCTGGCATACACAAGGCAAAACTTTGATGTATTATCTCAGATTTTAATTGTAAAAACGCAAAATTCTGAGTTTTTAATTATTTATTAATTTTTTAATCACAAGTGAATATTAGGAAGTTGAAATTTCTAGATAAAACCCTGAAATTTCCATTTGAGTGCAAAATATTTTTCCCATAAAACACAGAAAAACACACACGATTGTAATAAATATGTGATAAAAGATCAATATCGTTTTAACTTCTCCATATTCAGTAGCCGTTTAGATTCCCTCCGCGCCGCTAGGGGGCGACATAGCCACCAATTCATGTTTCCGCGTCAGAGGTTAAAGGTTGTGAGTCTGACACCGCCACATGCATGTTGTTGATGTTGGAGACTGGAGAGATTTTCCTTACCTCGGCTTGTTTTTTCACGGTGGGTTTATTATTTTTGTTATCGTTTTATTTTGTTCTCGTCGCGTATTAAAGTTTCTTTAGCTTAAAGCAAGCTAGCACGTCTTGTTCCATTTTCGGACACCCTGTAGCCTCGGCGTCTTCATCCCTCTCACACTGAGCAAGTACTGGACAACAAACCAGCTGTTTAAAATGTTAAATGTCTTTAAAAAACTTTTGCCATCATCACTTT